TTGGTGGTAGCACTTGAATGATTATTAACTGTTTTGTAACATTCGCACTATCATAGTGACTTAAGGAAGATGAACGAGCTCCGGCGCCAGCGCGACGTGAGAATCGCCGAGGTGCCCAAAGCAGTCGGTTGTATCAGCTGAGCGGATACGAACCCAAAAGTGTTTGTCAGGAGAAGGCAAAGTCGAAGAGAGATCCTTTCACTTGTCACAAGGAGCTCGCGACAACTGCCGCTCAGCCGGCAATTTAGCCAGGCTGCCACTTGCGCAGACACAGTTGGTTGGTCTCATTTGCGTCTTGAATCTCAGGAGGAGGAGAAAGCAGAGCTCCGGAAGGACTGCATTTTGCCTCATGTTCAAAAATGCATACTTGCTGGTGGAAACTTAGCACAATCGACCCTGAGCAGGCGCTGGAGCGTGATCGATTGGAGCTGGCGGCGGAGATAGCGGCAAGAGGGCCCACACAGGCGTCCAAGGCGGAGCCCGTTTTCAAACGAGTTCCTGAGATTCTGAAAGGCTCATCACGCCTGCCTGGTTCCCCGCAAGGCTTCGGACTTGAAGTTCGGCGCTCATGAGGCCCGGCCAGATTGCAACAAGGGTGGTGGCTGATCCTAAGCTGGCTGCAGAGAGTCTTGGATCGCAAGAGTGTCCGTCTGATTCTAGCGCTACAACATGGCATGCTTTTCATTTTGGCCAACTGCCACTGAGATCTGAGGCCAGCCAACTGCTGAGTCGTTCCTAGTTAGCACCCTTGGGCAGACACAATTTTATCAACAGAAGCCCAAAGGCCTTGCATTGGTACGGAGACTGGGGCCCCCCGGCCCTCACTGATGGTGTTAGCAGAGATCAATTTCTGCAATATGCCTGCTGTGTCTCCCGGGATGAAGCTTCCGTTTCGGCACCGTTTTTGCTGCACATGCCTACTGCGATCTGCCACGCGAAGTCCAGGCCTGCTTGTGAAGAGGAGCCGCCCAAATTGTGCAGTGCTCTTCTGAGAACCGTCGCTTCTGCTGATTCGCGCACCTACAAGTGCGCGGGGCAAGATATCAGAAGTGATTAGGATCTGGTAACGCGTGGCATGCGGACTTTGTTGCGTTCGGATCTCATTTGTGTTGCGGTAGTCCAGGAGATCAAGAAAGATGCTTCATGTGTGATTTTTTGTTGCATGAAGCAGCAACAACGGAGCTTGCCACTCCCAGTGTCGATGCGGTTTGCCCATTGTGCCGCGCATCGGCCTCTGAGCCCCATTTGAAGACGCCCTGCATTGCCTGATGTACTTGGTCTTGGCATGGAGTTACCAAAGCATTGCATGGATGATAAAAGCAAGCAGGCGGTGCCACACCAGCCGCAAGGCCACGCGTAGTTCTTTGTTGGTGGACATCCTGCCTGAGCTTGTGGCAATGTTGGTCTACTCAAAAGATCTCAAAAGGTAGCAAACCTTAGTGGTCCCATGGTACTTTGTACTTCAATTTCCTGTCCTAGTCCAAGCTGCAACTCAAGTGTAAACTGTTGTGTATTCATTGAAAGGCTTGAGCTTCTCTGCAAAAACTTTGCTACCAAATTACATGGCAAAATCCATTTCAAGCTTTGTACAGTGGATGCTGAGAGTTGGCCGGGGAAACGCCAAGTGCGGTGACTGGCCGATCCACGCGAGCTAAGCTGGACATACGAATCCGGCGAACAGTGCCTCGAATGCTCTTCAAGCGATCTTCATTAGGGTTGGTGAAGGAATTCACAGTGCTTTGTTGGAGGGTCAGGATCGTGTTTCGTGCACACCCGCCTCGCGATCTCTCTGCTCTTCAGCGTCGAGTGTTCAAAACTTCTGAGACACATGCCACCAGCGATAGTTGCTGCCACTAGTAGAGGCACATACGTAGATATCATGTGCAGCATGTATTCCAGCTGCTCCAAGCGAAGATGCTGTGATGAGCTTGCTGCCATGCTGCGGATGAGCCAGCTGGGCGATGTCATTCTGAAAGACGAGGCTTGTCAGCCATGCCGCTCAGATCTCAATGTGAACTCTTCGTGTAGCAGAAACCTACGCATATATATATATATATGCACATGCATATACATACACGCATGCACTAAGTTGCATTCATTTCCATTTACATGTCCCTTCGAAATTCCATAGTTGGGATAATATATCCCTGAACGATATATACCCCATTGTAATGTACTGTAGTAGTTTGTCTTGAAGTCATTCTGTCTGGGGCTTTTTGGAAGGAGCGCCGGAATGGTACCGTGCTGCACTGCCAGGACACTAGAAGTGTTTTTTTTGCTGCAGCTCGATTTCAGAGACCAATCTACTGCTTTATTTCATGTGGAGATGTGGAGTTTTGGACAACATAAAGCCAAACTGGCGGGTGACGCGCCCACCGCTGGAGCAAGGGGACTCCAGCATGTCAATGCATGTCATTCGGAAGTCAGGAACCTAGAATTATGTTGCACAGCACCGGCAGCTGTGAAGCCATGGCTTGAGCTCTCATATGTTGTATACACAAAAACATGTTCGAAGTTTTGCAACAGCCTTCAGCTCGGTGATGGCCTCAATCATTGGTGCCACTAGCAGCGCCTCCAGTGAGACTGACCTAGACCCCAGCCCCATCCTTTGTGCACGCCAATCTGCAGCTACATGCCAACCAATCTCAGCATGTCTTAGCTTCGCTTTGCCATTCGGCTTGCCATGGCCACTTATTATGGCTCAGACTCTGCTTCTGGCAAGCCACGCACCTAGCGTTGTGGACTCGTCCAATCGAATGCCAGCCGCTTCCCTGGAAGCTGCAGGCTGTTGGACCAACCGTACCTGGGAGGAGTGCTGCGCAGCTACTGAGCTGAAGATTTGAAAGTAGGTATCGCAGAATCTCACTGAAACAGAGAGGGAAGCTGAGAGCTTTGTCAAAGCAGGCGCGATCCCAGCGGCACAGGGTCGGCCTGAAGCAATGCTTCAAAGGCGTCTCAGTTGCAAAGATGGCACCATGCCAAACTAGCTTGTGCCCTCTGCAGGAAATTGGGAGGAGTGCTGCAGTCCCAAAGATGTCCCAGCCCCGGAGTTCCCTGGACCTCTTGCCAACATGGCATTGCGCATTGTGCTGGGGTTTGCCAGGTCCCACGTGATGTTTTCCACTGCATGGACCGGGGTGAGGACTGGAAGCAGCTACGCCTGGTGCTGTGAAGTTTGAGACGAACGCAGCCAGAGATCTGCAGACTTGCCGAGGTCGTGGAATTATATTTGCATGGCCCTTGACGGAACTGCCGTCTTCAGAAAAGATGAGGCCATGAAGCAGCACATTCCCCACGATTGATTGCGGCGGTTTGTAGCTGAACACCAGGGATAAAGTAGCAGATGTCTTGCTAGAAATAGATAGCACCACCGGTTCATGAGCGCATGCCTTCAACTTGTCAGGTGGCGAGCCTCAGAGTGTTTGCTCGGCGCTTTAACCGCCTCGCTGCTCTTCGTGGCCATGGAAGGCGAGTGACTTTCAAAGGTCATGAGCGTAGTCAATCGTGGTCAATAGTGCAGACAATGTACCAGGGAGGACTACTGTTTGCAACTCACGTATTGCCGACTACTGCTTGCATCAACTATAACACCTGAACCTTTTGATCCCTGCAAGCAGCAAGCTGGACACTCCGCGCGCGAGAATCCGTGCATGTCAGGTTTTTCAGGCGCACCGGCTGCGCGGGTGGCGCAGGCTTTCGAGCTCGCGGATGATCTACTCAGCCTCGTCTTGAGGAGAGCCGAAGACCGCCCCAAAATCCGCGAACCCAAAAGCATGTCCGAGATTCTAGCCCCACCTGGCTGCAGGAGCCCTGTATCCATTCAGGAGAGACTTGATGGCATGAGAGGCTTTGAGCAGTT